AAAGGCTCCGAGCCTCGCTCGGGCTACCCGGCATATCTGAGGACTGGGAATGAGACCCAAATGGTTGGAGCCAGAGGGCCAAGAGGAGGAGGCTGGACGTGAGGTTAGGTTGTTTTCTTCTTTTGTTTTTGTGTTTTGTATTGGGTCTATTTTATGGCTGGGATTTCTCCTTCTACGGGGCGGGGAGGGGGTGGGAAATATGACATCAGGATGTGTTAGGTATGCCTTAAATGTGAAAGCACAAAGAGGAGTGACTGTGCTTCATTTTGGGAGGCATAAGTATGTTTCACCAGGTGGGTGGAGAAGCACAGTGTGGAGGGCCCCCTAGGGATTGTTGTTGTTTACTCTGGGGAAATGGGAAGCCATGGGAGGGTTGGGAGCCTAAGATGTACGTGACCTAGACTAAAGATCACTCTGACTGCTATTGAGATATTTATAGGGGGCAAGAACGGAATCAGGAAAACAAGTTTGGAGGCTAGTCCAACACTCCAGAGGAGAGAAGATTTTTTTCTCCCAGTTACTATTGTTTAACAAACCACCCCAAAATTTGTGGCTTAAAACATCAATAGTTTATTATTTCTCATGGTTCTGTAGGCTGCCTGGGCAGTTCTTTTGCTTCACAAGTATCAGCTGGGTCCTATTTTCCTCCATCTTTGCAGGCCTAGTTTTTTGTGTGTGTGTTTTTTGTTTTTTTTTAATGTTTGCCCATATGTATTTGACCTTGTTGGCTGTGGGGTGTTTTTATGTTTCCATGAATATTTCCAAGCTTTGTTCTGGAATGCAGTTAAAGGACCTGGAAATGGTTTGATTCTTTCAGGTCTCGCTTTTAAGATTTGTTTGGCAGGATCAAAGCAGCGTTTAGCGTCCAAGGCTAATTATTCTCTGCTACTGAGGCAAGACAGTGTTCTGCCCATTGCCCGGGAATTGTGAGGTTGTCCAGCTGGGCTGTGTGAGCTCGTCCAGCTGGGCTGTGTGAGCTCCAGTGTGGTTTGCTCGAATCCAGGGTGGTTGTCTCTGAAGCCTCGAAGTTTCTTGTGTGTGTGCTGATCCATAGTCAGCTGAAGACCTCACGTGGGTCCTTTGCCTGTCTCTGGAGTTCTCTCTCTCCACCCCACTCCTCTCTCTGGTACCCTGCCCTCTGAACTCAGCTGCCTCAGTCTCCCCAGCCTCTCAGTTCCATCTCTTCAGCTCAGAGTCCATCTTGCATCTCCTGGGTTCTCCCTCCCCAAACATATTGACTTTGAGATGCCTCTTAACCATCCCACTGGAGATTCCTTGAAATGTTTTCTGGAAGAATCCCTCCTGACACCCCAGACTTCTCGTGTTCAAGGTGAGTCAAAGACTCAGGTGCACCTCCTACGCAACGTAACATTGCCTATCAAGTGATTGCCTTGACATTTGGAATCTGACTCTGGACTCAGTCTGGCAGCTGTAACTCCTTAAATTATTTCATGTACTAGGTCTTTGATTTGGTTGATGAGCCTCAAAACTTTAGCTTTGTTTCTTCCCTGATCAGGTAAAGGAAAACAATACATTGGTGATTCTGGTTATCCCTTATTTTAAATATACACGGAAGAGACTTTGCTTTTGGCTAATGGGCTGCAGTGCTATTTGTTAGTAGTAGCAGCTAAAGTCCTGGCATTGGTGAATGACGTAGTCTTAAAAATATTAGTTAGAAAGTAAGGTATTCTTATAATAATATCACTGTCACGCGCCAGCTTCTGTATTAGCCAAGACTTGCTGGCAAGTCGTGGAAGTCCACCTCAAATTAGCTTAAGCAAAAGTCCTAGAAGAAATCCCCTTACATAAGTGGAATTTATAGGCTCCTATAGCTCAAAAGCTTAAGAGGTGGGAAGGCAGAGCCTGATTCAAACAGTCTTCAGACCCCTCTCCCTCTCTGTCTCTCTCCCTCTTAGTTCTCAATCTGGTGGGACCAAGTTTTTGTTGGCCTTAAGGTTTTGACCTGAGAGAGAAATAGAGAACACTCTTCCCAATATCTCCGGCAAAAGTCCCGTGGGCAAGGGGATCCCAGTTGGCCAGGCTTGGGTCCCCTGTCGGTCCTTGGTGCAGGGTCAGGAGGAGGTCAGGCCCACAGGGTGATAGGACCAGAGCAGCACTGATCTTCTGGGCCCTAGAATTCTTTGCTGTGGGGGACGACCTGTGCATCCTAAGATGTGTAACCGCACCCCTGGCCTCTACCCACTAGATGCCAGTATTAACCTCCCTCCACCCACCGTGACCAGGAAAATAACTCCAGATATTGCCACATGTCCCCTGCTGGGCAGAGTCACCCCCGTTGAGAACCAGTTCTATGGAGTGAGAGTAGTTTTCTATGGGAAGAGATGCCGGCTGGGAAAATAGGCCTGTGACCTATTCCAGTGTGTTTTCTGAGCAGAACAGAAGGAGGTGGACCAATTGTTGGCATCTGTTAATGTACAATGAACCACTGACGGGTACAGTTTAGTTCAGTGCTTTAATTCTTACAAAATAATTTTGTGACAGGGTACATAAAAATTGGGGGATACCTATGAACGTGTTCGAGATGTTATAAGTGTTATAGCAGGACCAGAAAATTCTCTGGTGTCATGATAAAAACCAGAAACTAAGACTGAAATACCAAGGTCAGTTTTTTTGTTTGTTTGTTTTTGTTTTTTGTTTTTTTTGGGGGCTGTGCTGTGCAACTTTCAGGATCTTAGTTCCCTGACCAGGGATTGAACCTGGATCCCCACGAGTGGAAGAACGGAGTCCTAACCACTGGACAGCCAGGGAATTCCCATACCAAGGTCTATTTTGGCTCAATCTTGTACTAGGTGCATGATCTTTCTTAAATTATTTAATCTCCTTTAATCCTCGACTTTCTTCAATATACAAAATGATTAATGATGTCAGACAAAACAATAATATATGTGAAAGTCTTGGGTAAACTTTAAATGGCATTCAAATTGGAGGTATTTAAACTTTTCAATTAGTTGAATATGGACGCTACTTCGGTGACTTCTGAGTTTTTAGAATAGTGCATTCAGGTGTGTTTGGGTTGTTTATTCTGTGACTGTGGAGCATGGTATTCTGTTTCTTATTCTCTCCCTTTTTCCTCCTCTCCCCTTTTTGGTTAACATAGAGATGTCAATGTTATAAGAAAGAAGATGGTTATTTTTACTTTCTAGTATGTTCCAAGAGGCAAAAGAATTGCTCACCTGAGAATTATCAGTCTCTTCTGTTCCTGCTGTTTAAAAAAAAAAATAAATAAGAAAAAAAACATTTCCAGTTCATCTAGCTAACTGGTGGGTGAGAGTCGTAGGAATGATCCTGTCCTCAGGAAGGCAGACATTATGTTCCAACAGCGCATGGTGTATATGTTTTCAGCTTTCTGGCTCTGTTCCACCTTGGTAATAACCCACCCGGTTAATTCAGTGGGATTTAAGCTTCTGGTCTTTGTCTGAACAAATCAGAGATTGCCAGAAAACATTTGAACAAATCGTGGAACCCAGTCATATTCAAGCATAGAATATATCCCAGAAACAAACAAATGACCTAATCCCATGTCAGATGCAGGGGCTAAATGATTCGTCTCCTAAAAGAGTCTTATAGTCAGTGTTTACTTCCCAAGTGAAAGAGAAAATTTGCTTCTTGATCTAAACCAGTTGTAGGAACATTCTCAGTGTCACCTTTTGGAGCAAACGTTGTTTGACTTTTGGATTAGATTCGTGATTTTTTACGCAAGACTGTCTTTAGAGTTTTGGGTTAAGAACGCTGTGTTTTCCTTTTCTGTTTGTAGAGACAGGCTTTCCTGGGTGACATCTCTTGTTGTTATCACTATTAGTGGATCGTTTTTCATATTCTTGTTTCAAATCTAACAATTGCTGAAATGAACACATACATTTCTCAACCAGTGAAATATCTCCTAAAAGGTGCTTTCTTCTCAGCAGGAGGCTTTGGTAACTTCCGGAGAAATTCAGCATTCTTTAAGTCAGAGACTACACTAATAATCACGATTTACATGTGAACATATAAACTACAGGAAATCAGAGAGGGAGAAGAAAATTTTATTATGTACTTGGCTAGGAGTCTTTGAATGTTTATAGTCTGGGAACGGATACTGCGAAAGTCTTTCTGGGATTGACATATATACACTAATATATATAAAGTGGATAACTAATAAGAACCTGCTGTATAAAAAAATTAATAAAAAAAAAAGTCTTTTCTGTTGTTAGGGAGGGCCCACGTTCCCACCCCACACCCCCAATCCTCAGCCTTGGCTTTGGAGTCAAAACAGCACTCTTCTTACACTTGATAGTGTTAGGGGAGATGTTTTTTTCCCCTTGGCATATTTCTACAGCTGGAAACTAGGGAAGCAAGGAGGCTGATTAATCGCTTTCTAGCTAAGCACATTAATACCATCCTCTTGGCATCTTCCAACAGTTTTTTGTCATAAGGACCTATTTCCTTTCTAATGAAATTTTGGTACGACCTTCTTGTGTGAATGCTTCTTTCTGGGCCCTTTGGGGTTTCCTTTACCAGTATTGGTATTTCCACCAGAGAGCTAATATCTGTGGACTGCTGCAGGCACTTGAATCGTGTGTGAGTTAGAGATGAGAGGTATGCAAGCGTGTGGGGTGGGGGAAAGGAGGAGTCAACCTCTGCTCTTCTGAATATGTCCTCAAATACACGTAGCTCTCCGTTCATGGTATATGATGACTTGGTCATTCCAGCTGCTATTAAGTTTTTTTTTAATTATTTATTTATTTTATTTTTGGCTGTGTTGGGTCTTCGTTTCTGTGCGAGGACTTTCTCTAGTTGTGGCGAGCGGGGGCCACTCTTCATCGCAGTGCGTGGGCCTCTCACTGTCGCGGCCTCTCTTGTTGCGGAGCACAAGCTCCAGACGCGCAGGCTCAGTAGTTGTGGCTCATGGGCCTAGGTTGCTCCGCGGCATGTGGGACCTTCCCAGACCAGGGCTCGAACCCGTGTCCCCTGCATTGGCAGGCAGAGTCTCAACCACTGCACCACCAGGGAAGCCCTGCTGTTAAGTTTTGAAGGGCCAGTCAACAGAAATAATAATCCAAATCATTCTTCTTCTTCAAGGGTGTCTGAGAACTCTGGCCACAACCTAGTTTTTAAAAACATAACATATTAGTGATTAGGACAAAATTCTTTCCCAGGGCTCTTCTAGATAATGCCTCCCTAAATGATGGCTCAGATGTCTGAGTCAGTCTCAGGAGCTGACCATTAAGCCACTGGCCAAGCTTCTATTTTTAAGAATTGCTAGGAAAAACTGGAAGCAATTTTAGAAAATAAAGGAAATACTCTTTGTCCTTTCTTTTTTTTTTTTTCCTTGTGGGGAATGAGAAGAGACAGAGTCTTTGATTCATGTACAGCCAAGATCTAGGAATAAAACAAATACAGTAGAACCCTTTCCTAAGTGGTAGGCACAGTTCTAATTCCCACAATTTAGAGATCTGTTGTACATCAAGGTTTTAGTGTATGGGGCTTGTTGTCAGCCACACAGTATGATCTGTGATATACCTAGGGTTCCCTGAATATGAAAGCAAAACTTTGCAATAATTTACTTTATTGGATTTGAACCCACTAAACACAGCTCTTGAGTTGTGTACACAGTCTCATTGTTCTAATAGTAAACATTGTGTCCATTGTCAAGTTTAATTAAAATGCAGTGAACCTGTGGCAACTGTGGACAATGGAATCCATGAACTGATAAATAGCTCTGAGATTGTACACACCTGACGTTTTAAGGGCTTCCTGATGATCAAAGTTCAAGCACATTTAATAGTTTCAGCAGTTGCACTGCTTCCATTTGTGTTTATTTTCATTTCCCCTGGGCAGAACTCTCTAATCTGGGCTTAACTTTTCATACCATACTTTTGAGAGGGGCTTAAATTACCCTATTCTCGTAATAGCAATACTCTTAATGTGGAAGACTTTAAAAGTGTCTCTGCCCACTTAAAACAGAATTTCCACTACTGTGCATTTATTCTGTAGATACAGGAAACCCAATTATTGCTTGGAATCGAACTAGGCCCTTGAGGAACGTGAAACTCTCATTTTCTCCTCCACCCCCTACCCATCATCAGACATGAGTTTTATTTTATCAGAATTAAATGAAAATGGATGATGTGAGTGCAAATAGCTACAGGGAAGGGAAAATCTATTTCTAAAATCTTTACTACTTGTGCCTAAATAAGATTGTTCTCTGATTATTTGCTGGCTGTTTGTAAGAGAAAATCATTATTCCTGGCTCCTAAGTCTGGAAGTCATTCATACAAGGAGGCACAAAATATTTCAACCGTTTTTATTCCCTCAGTTTTCCTATGAGTATTCATTCAGTATTTTGGCTGATAATACAGTGAAAGAACAGGCTCTAGGCAGTTTTTCTAGAAATCAAGATTTATCTACTTCTTTGGATAATCAAATATTCCTTGCTCAGAATGTCCTTCCAAGAACAACCTTTATGAAATAGAGCCCTCACCTCCCATCTCTCTCCATTTTCTTGCCCTGCTTTACTCTTCTTCAAAGCATTCATCAATACAGGTTATTTATTAACACCCATATTTATCTGCTAGCTTATAAACCTCTAGAACAGCGCCACCCAACAGAAATGCAGTGCAAGCCACATAGGACATTAAAAACGTTCTAGGAAACACATTCTAAAGGTGAAAAGAAATAGGTGAAATTAATTATGATAGTGTTACTGACCCAGGCCCTTAGACTCTTTAATCAATAGAAATTGATAAGAGGCCAGATGGGAATTCCAGGCAAACCTTTATTGGGGCTCAGGCTACAGCACGAGGGAGTGAGAACAAGAAACAGGTGCCTCTGCACTCTCCCTGAGAGGAGCTGCTTAGGTCCTTAAATGGGGTAATGACGGAGGGGGCGGGTCTGTGGGGTGGGTAGGTGGCTAGCTTAGGTGGTCTGCCCACCCACTCAGTGGTGCTGCATGCAGGGATCATACACAATCCCCTGTTTTTGCTCCCAGCACCACAGAAATGGCAGTTGGTTTGTGGCCTTTTTGTATCCTGTTGTTCATAATTGCCCCAAATGCCCATTCTTGCAGTTATTTTAGTCCCTTATAGTTTCTTTGTATTCTGTTGCCCAGAGAGATGTTAGCCGAAGTGCAAGCACTCTGGTAGAGGGTCCCAGGTCCCAGCCTATCTCAACAGTATGTTCTATTAAACTTAATACATCCATAATATTATCACTTCAGCATCAAATCAGTGTAAAATGATTGCTAATGTGATTTCATTTTCATTTTTTGGACTAAGTCTTCAGAATCTGGTGTCTATTTTATACTCCCAGCACCTCTTAATCCCAACTGGCCACCTTTCAAGGGCCACATGTGACTTGTGGCTGCCATGTTGGACAGCATGGCTCTAGGATGTAATCTCCACATGGTTAGTGGCTTTGCTTTGTTCACTAGAGAAAATAAATACTAAGCACATTCTAAGTGCATAGTAAATAGTGAAATAGCAAATGAATATTAAAATTATAATGACCACACTGTTTAGCCAAAGGCCTGTGTATTACATGTCATCTAGCATGCTGCAATGCCTCTAGTTTTCTCTTCTTCCTAACATTTCCCTCTTGCCTACTACTCTAAGAATATCAAAATGTAAGAAAGTCGCTGTGATCATGTATTCTGCCATTGACCTACTTTTGCTGGGAAAAGCCAAAGGCTATATCCTGTGGTGACTCTTCCGCCCTCCCACCCCTCAGAACGGACCCATTCGAATCTTGTTTCTGCTGTTGCCCCTCCTCTTAGTTCTGTGCTCCCTCCCTTTGATCAGTTCTCAAGCTCCCTAATCAGCAGTGGCTCATATCATTTTTTAAAAGATCATATATCCCTTAATATTTGGGCAACACCTCCTTCCCTTCTCTTCCTCCTGTCAAGTCCAGTAAATAAAGAATGCATTTGGCACCTTCCTTGTGCCAGATACCATGGAAGTAGGCACTGCACATACACCTCAGGGCAGTGTAGACACTGGCCCTGCTTTTGAAGCACTTTCAGTCCAGTGGCTGAGAAAGACAAACAGTCATTACAGTGACGACACAGGAGAGTGTCATGGCAAAGGCACAGGCTCTGGGAAAAACAGGGTTCAAACCTTGGCACTGCCACTTACTAAGTATATGGGCTTGAGCTGATCACAGTATATCTCTATGCCTTAGTTTTCTCATCTGTAAAATGGAGCTAATAAAAGTATGTACCACATAGTGTTGTAAGGATTAAATTATAGGCAGGTCGGGTGGGGTGGAGAGAAAAAAAATTATCTGCAGGCAGACCTTGTTTTTTTTACACTTTGCTTTATTGTGCTTCACAGATACTGCGTTTTTTACAAATTGAAGGTTTGGGGCAACCCTGTGTCGAGCAAGCCTGTTGTTGCCATTTTTCTAACGGCATCGGCTCACATCCTGTCTCTGTGTCACATTTTGGTAGTCCTTGCACTATTTTTTTTTAATATAGATTTTTATTTTTGGCGGCATTGGGTCTTCATTGCTGCGCACGGGATTTCTCTAGTTTCGGCGAGCGGGGGCTACTGTTCGTTGTGGTGCGAGGGCTTCTCATTGCGGTGGCTTCTGTTGTTGTGGAGCACGGGCTCTAGGCGCGCGGGCTTCAGTAGCTGTGGCTCGCGGACTCCAGAGTGCAGGCTCAGTAGCTGTGGCGCATGGGCTTAGCTGCTCCACGGCATGTGAGATCTTCCCGGACCAGGTCTTGAACCCGTGTCCCCTGCATTGGCAGGCAGATTCTTAACCACTGCGCCACCAGAGAAGCCTTCCTTGCACTATTTCAAACTTTTTTATTATTATACTTGTTACAGTGATCTGTGACCAGTGATCTTTGACGTTACTACTACGACTTGTTGAAGACTCAGATGATGGTTGGCATTTTTTTTAGCGATGAAGTATTTTTATTTTATCTTGTAAGTATTTTTAAATTAGGGTATATGCATTGTTTTTTTAGACATAATGCTATTGCACGCTTAACAGTGTAAGCATAACTTTTACACGCACTGGGAAACCAAAAAATTCACATGACTCACTTATTGCCATATTTGTTTTATTCCAGCGATCTGGTACTGAATTGGCAATATTTCCAAGGTGCCTGTGTATATCACCATTATACTCTTGTAAAGAGATGACCTTGGATCATTGCCAACTGTGGTTAAGAGACATGCATATCTAATGTATTACACTTACTAGAAGAGTGTCTGGCATTAACATATTTCTAAGTGTTAGATATTTTTATTATTATCCATATTGGAAGAAGATGGCCCTTTGGGAGAACTCAGGGGGCACAGCAGCCCAGATAGTGAAGGGTCAGGTGACATTTCCTGGAGGAAACCCCATCACCAGTGAAGCCTGATGAGGAGTTTAAGGGGGAGGAACAACATTTATAAAGACCTGGAAGCAAGAGCTCTTACGGCAGTTTGAGGAACTGAAAAAAGTTAAAACTGCCTAAAACGCAAGCCCAAAGGCCTCTGGGGACCAGGTAGAACATATGAAACTGTTGATATTCGACACTTTTCAAACTATAAAAATGGAGGTTATTTATGGTTTAGCCTAATAGTATGGCTGATGGGAGCTGTGTAAAAAAAAAAAAAAAACCAAAACAAGAGCGAGCTCCTCAATACACCGTGTGTCGTGGGACATTGGGTCTCACTGGGACACTGGGTCTCACCAGGACACCTGCTGCCCTTCGGCTGGGAGGGCTTGTGGGGAAGAGAAGACCTGGGCCCAGGTAGCCTGGGTGCATGGCCGGCTGCAGGTGCCCTGTGGGACTGAATATACTCGGCGGTGCCCATTTTAAAAGTCCAAAGGGTGAATTTTATAGGTTTTTTGATTTTTAAAACGTTAGCTCAGATTTTGGGGAGTGGGGCACAGGAGGGACCAAAGCGTTTGTCAGCCAGACATGGCTGCTTAACTACTAGTTGGTAGTCTGCAGCCTGGGTTTAGACCTGGGGGCTGGGGGGTGGGGGCAGGAATGAGGCTGGACTTATGAGTGCAAGATATTTTTTTTTTAGGAGTGAAATACTGAATATATTCCCCTGGCCCTGCCTGCTGCCATCACTGTTCAAAGTCATTTCCTTCTGAAGCCCTCCAGTGTCTTCTCACCACACTTAGAATCACATTCAGAGTCTACACCCCAGTTTATAACTCCACCCGACCTGCCCCGGCCACCTCCCAACCCTGCATGGTGTTCCCTACTACACTTAATTTTTTTATTCCTGAAACCCACCAAGCTCATTTTGCCCTCGGGGCTTTTGCACGAGCTATTCTGTCTGCTTGAAATACTTGTCTTTCAGATAGTCCTAAGTCTGGCTCTTTTTCATTCAGGGGTTGGCTCAAATGTCACATCCTCAGAGAGGTCTCCAAAACCACTTCTGGATTTAAGGATTTGCTAGGAGGACTCCAGGAAGCAGCATGGCCATGATTTTTACAGAGAAAGGACACAAAGGAAAATGGGCAGTCAGCGAATATCCAGTGGATGGATGGATGGATAGATGGAGGATTTTACCTGTCCTGTTGCTCAAGGGCAGTGGTTGCTCCCCCATCTGTACTGTCCTAAGACTTCTCTTTCGGGCTTTTCCCTTTGGCCTGTAGATACCAGCATGTGTACCCGACATGCGCCCAGCTGAGAGGCTGATTTCGCGAGTGGGAACAGTTGGATTTCATCCCATCCCTGACCAGACTTCAACTTTGCAGACTGCAGTGTCCTAGCATCCCCCGCCCCTCAGCCTCCCTCTCCTCCCTCACCCCTTTGATCAATGGCATTATCCTTCTCTGGCTGAACTGTTTACACACACACACACACACACACACACACACATTTTATAAGCACTGAAGCACTGAAAAAGCAGAACTCTGACCCATACTCTATATTTCATGGGAAACCTTTCCAAAGAGATTCAGCTGAAAGAGTTTCTAAGAAACTCCTCCCTCCCTCCCTCCCTCCCTCCCTCCCTCCCTCCCTTCCTTCCCTCCCTCCCTTCCTTCCCTCCTTCCCTTTATCCACTTTTTTTTTTACTCTTTCATAAAACTCTCTGAGCCAGGCACTTTGTCAGGCATGGGAGACAGGTGTGAACAAGACAAACACCTGTGGTTTTTATCCTTAAAATCTGGCTTTCAGATGCTGCGGGCATGGACACTAATAGGTAAGGAAACAGCAAGCAGCAATCATTTTGTAAAAGGTCCCAGAGGTGAGGAAGCCGCTGAGGTTATAACTGTTGGCTGCCCTACTCTGCACTGAAAGTAAGGCCACGGGTGCCAGGACTGGCCGTGTGAGGAAGTAAAAAAAAAACAACACCTCTTTGCAGCTAAGAAACTTAAAGGAGCACCGCTGTGTCCAGCCCTGCTCGTTCAGCCTGTGTCTGGAGCTCAGTTTCTCCACCTGAGGATGGCGCTCTCCCAGGCTGTGTGGCTATGGGGTGTGTTTTCTCCTTTTTTTAGTGGTTGCCCTAGAATTTGCAGTATACACTTACGTACATGTGCATTTACTCACATTTATAATTGATCCAAATCCACTGTACCACTTCACAGGTAACACCAGTACCTTCAAAAACAATCCTTATTCCTCCCCCATCCCTTGCATCATTGCTGTCATTCTCTTCACTTAGGCATAAGCATACACACACACACACGCGCGCAGGCATACATTGTTGCTATTATTATTTTGAACAAGCTGCATCTGTTAGATCAATAAAGAATAAGAAAAATAAAGGTTTTTATTCCACCTTCACTTTTTCCTTCTCTGATGCTCTTCTTTATGTAGGTCCGAGTTTCTGATTTTTTTTCCTTCTCTCTAAAGAACTTCTTTTAATATGTCTTAGAAGGCTGGTCTGCTGGCAGCAGATCTTCTCAGTTTTTCTTGGTCTCAGAACATCTTCATTTCTCCTTCGCTTTTGAAGGATAATTTGCCTGGAACAGAATTCTCAGTCGGTCAGTTTTTTTCTCTCTCAATGCTTTAAGTATTTCCCTCCACTCCTTTTGTGTGTTGGTTTCTGGCAAGTCAGCTGTCATTATCTTTGCCCACCAGTAAGGCAATTTCCCTTTCCTTCATGAGTTTTTCCTTTATTTTTGATTTTCTGCCATTTAAATATGATATGCCTAGATGTAGTTATACGATATGAAGAAATAAGATATAGCCTGGACATAGGCATTTATCCTGCCTGATGTCTCTGAGCTTCCTGGATCTGTGGTTTAGTGTCTGACATTCATTTAAGGGAAATTCCCAGTTATTAGTGCTTCAAATATTCTGTTGCTTGCTTTCTTCTCCTTCTGGTATTCCCCTTATACATATGTTATACCTTTTGTGGTTCTCCCACAGCCCTTGGAAATTCCATTGTTTTTTTCTTTTTTCAGTCTTCATTGTCTATGCTTCTTGGCTTATGAGGATTCTATTGATACATTGTCAAGCTCAAAGATGCTTTCCTCAGCTGTGTCCAGTCTACTAGTAAACCAATTAAAGACAATATTTCTGTTACAGTGCTTTTTATCTCTAGCATTTCCTTTTCATTCTTTCTTAGAATTTCTCTGACTCTCTGCTTACATTGCCCATCTGCTTCTACATGCTGTCTACCCAGTAGAGTCCTTAGCATCTTAATCATAGTTGTTTTAAATTCCCAGTCTGAGAATTCCAACATCCTTGCCACATCTGAGTCTGGTTCTGATGCTCTCTCTCCAAACTGTTTTTTGCTCTTTGGTATGCCTTATAATTTTTTGCTGATAGCCTGACATGATGTACCCAGTAACAGGAACTGCTATAGGTTTTTAGTAAGGTGGTGATGAGGTGGGAGGGGAGGGGAAGCGTTTCGTAGTCCTGTGTTTAGCTCTCAGTCTTTTAGCGAGACTGTGCCTCTGGACTGTGAACCCCCCGATGCTTCTCAGTTCATCTTCCTCACCCCCTAAGGTGGGACAGGTGGCTAGAGTGGGCTGAAGCCGGGTATTTCCCTTCCTCCACGTGGAGAGCTATAGGGGCCTGGAGTTAGGTATTTTCCGTCTCCTAAATCAGTTAAGTTCTTTTAAAATCCCAGCAGGTGAAGTCCTGGTTAAGTAGTTTCTCCTGAGGGCAGACCTTGTTAAGAGGTACAGAGTGGTCTGGCCTATTTCAGAATGCTTCCTTTTCCCCTCCCCTGCTGGAAGAATGAGGGGACTTTTCTCTGATATTCACTGTGAGTACCTGGTCCAGTAAAACAGTGTGGGGAACCCCCCCCCCGTGACTGGGTACCCCTGGAGTTTTTGACTCTCAGATCTGTCCACAGCAGCCTCCAGCAATTCATCAATTTCAATACCAGTTTCCCTATGCTGGCACTGGCTCCCGCCAAGGTTGATGGTCCAATAAGTGGTGATTTTCTGTATTCAACTGTCTGTCTCCCCGATTTGGGGGCAGTGGTTTGCCCTTTGACCTCATTTCTTTTACTGATCTAAGAAGAGCTGTTAATTGTTTTCAGTTTGTTCAGCTTTTTGCCTGTTTCTATGATGGAGAGGTGACTTCTAAGCTTCTTACATGATGGACTAGAAACCGGAAGTCTGCCCACCAGTTTTAAGAACCAAAGAAGTGACAGACTGAGAATGTCAATTTTTTTTTGAGGGCGGGGGGGATTCATTGGTTTAGAAATGGAAATTTTAGGCTTCTGTTGGAAGTTTCAAAGGTGCCTGAAAGAGAAAGTTTTGACCGATATTCTGGCCACGTGCAGGAAATGGTGATATTGCAAAGCACATGAGTCCGGGGACCAGCGAAAGGGGAGCTTGAAATCTGCTTCTCTCAACACCCTGTTGTGTGCCCCAGGTCAGTCACTTCCCTTTTCTGAGATTCCTTATCTAAAACTGGGTGTTGGGACATTTACCGGAAGCTTTCGAAGGGATTAGAGGTAATTTGTATAAAGTACATAGTAGAAGGTATATTCCCAGTTATTTTGTACATAATAGAATAGAAACATTATAGATCATTATAGACAAAGTTTTTTCTTCCTTTTACTATGGAAAAAAAAAAACCTGAATGTTCACTTAGCTCTCCAAGGACACAGGAAGAGATTCAAGGTTAACACAGTGCAAACCAAGCTAGAGAATGGTATGTGGAAAAGCGAATTTGAGCAACGTAGAAAACACAATTCATTATTCAGATCTGTCCGAAGATTCTGGGCACATGTGGCAAAGTGTAAGATGGTGAACTTTTCCCCTCGCAGCCTTTGTCTTCACTGGGAAGTTTCTCCCTTGAGGGAGTCACTTTATGATATAGTAATTGAGTAGGAAGAGAGAAATCTCTTGCTAAAAGAAGTAAGTGACTGGGTAGCAAATCAGTTATCAGAAGCATCACTAAAAAAAAAAAGTCTGTACTAAGCACCAGGGTATTCTTTTGTGGCTGGGAGAGTAAACTTATATAAAGCACAAAGGTACCCCCTCCCACTTTGAAAAATCTCCAACTTCTGTTTCCTCTCCACTTTGAGGGAAGTGATACACTAAAATTAAGCGGTGGCTTCTCATCGCGGTTAGCAGCCTACACTTGGAGCCAGTCTGTCCTGGGTTTGCAGCAGGGCTGGCCACCGCATGTCCTCATGGAACCTGGGGTGAATTAACCGACTTCTCCAAGCCTCCATTTCTCACCTGTAAAATGGCAGTTGTTGCAAAAATGAAATTTTGATAATCCCTGAAAAGAACTTAGCTCAGTGCTTGTGAAGGTTAGTCATCATGATTTCTAGAAAAGGGCGGCTTCAGGACGTTTTCGGACTCGAAATCCTCTGCAAACAGTGACTCAGAAAGACTTTTGAAATTAAAGGAACAATTCAGAACAGGTTTTAAAAGTTGGGAAAAGATGGCAGTGGGGACGATCAGGAGTAATCTTGCCTGCCATCTGGAAGAGAAGCCAACATCCTCCTGTGGTTTTGCTTTCCTAGAATCACTTCTGCTTCTAGCCTGGAAGTGGACAAGGATGGAGAGAGATTGGAGATGAGCAAAATGAAAGCAAAGCAAAGTGTTCCATCTTCAAGAAGGGTCCCCAGAGTTACGCAGCTTCCCAGTTCTGGGTGGAACCCAGAAACTATTGCCTCTGAGCAGAGGGCTGGATGAGTCGATGCATGTGAAGCCCTTAACAACAGTGTCGGGCACCAGGTAAGCCCCGTTTCATACTGTGCTGCTGGGTTTGCTCCCCCTGACACCCACGTTCCCAAGGGGCACAGAGCTGCCCTCCAGGGGATCACACTGTTTCTCGATTTCTCAAAAATCATACTCTTTATAGATAAAGCACAGAAATATACACAGTGCATGAACAGATATATAGTGTATATGTGGTATTAACATATCAGGGGGTAATTACAAAAAACAGTCTAAAAATATTCCTTGTGGGGGGATGCAAATGAGAAACATGTTAAATAACACTGGCTAACCCTGATATAACGGGCTGGGGGGGACGTGGACGGGGCAGGTACCCAATATAAGACTAAAAATGGCGGGACCTCAGATGGCAGGAAAGGGAGGGGGATGGGAGGAGGGATTTCATGTGTGCAGGAAGCACGTTAAAGTGAGAAAGTTCCCCTGAGTGAGCAACATCCTCCTCCTTGCTGCTGCTCCTACTTCCTAGTTGGGAAGGCAGTATTGTGTAAGGAGGAGAGAAGGAACGTCTTGTGAATTCTGGCTCTGCCATTCATTTGCTGTGTGGTCTTGGGCAAACCACTGACCTCTCTGAGCCACATCTATAATGTGGGCCTAGCAATATGAGAGTCCGAGTGAAGTACCTGAGGAACAGCAGAGGTTTAGGAAATGTGGTGTCATTTTTGCACCGTCCTCTTTGTCCTGTAAAATGGCAGATGACCTAGGAGTGTTTGAAATTTTCAGGAAGGGAAATCACTTCCTTTGAGGTGAACTCCTGTCCATTAACATTTTATTCAAATTTTAGTCCCTCTGTCTTCTTTTTAACCCTCTCTTCCAAAGCTCTGGTTCTTAATTTTCTTTTGAAATTTCCAATAACACATGTATTAGGGATGCATTATTTGCCAAGTATCAGACACACATTATTTTATTTAATCCTCACAACAGTCCTATGAAGCCAGCACTTGATATATGTTTTTTTTTTAATTCAGCTATTCTAAATAGGTTTGTAGTGGTCTCTCATTTTGGTGACTAAAGATGTTGAGCATTTTTTCATTTGCTTATTTGTCTTCAGTATATATTTTATTTGTGCCTGTTCAAATCTTTTGCCCACTTAAAAATATTGGGTGGTTTGTTTTCTTATTATCATTATTGTAGTTTGAAAGTTTTCAAACATATTCTGGATACGAATCCTTTGTCAGATATATGATTGGCCAACATTTCCTTCTAGTGTGTGGCTCATCTTTTCATTTTCTCAACAGTGTCTTTCACAGAGCAAATGTTTTAAATTTCGATGATGTCCAGTGTATCAACATTTTTTTCTGTGGATGAAGGTTTTGGTGTTGTAGCTAATTATTTTAAACACCATGAGCCAGTCAAAATGCATCTGTGGGCCACGTGCATCCTGCGGGCCCCACAATGGGGTGGGATTTTTAGACTAGAAGGAACCTCAGGGGATGTGGAAGCCATGACAATGTGCTTCTCGGGTCTCCCGCAGCAGGGCCTGTAATTGACCGAGGGTCCGGATGCCCTGCTCTGAAATCCACCTTTGTGCCAAGACCACATTTCCCCCAGGTTTCTCCTTACCAGTGACTGCCTGCAACAGGGGTACTAAAGCAGGCTCATTTCTGGGAGACACGTGGCTTTGCCAGAACTTTCTTAGAATTGTGCCACAGACTCAGACTACTCCTACCCACCTGTTCGTTCTTCTTTTCTCCTCTGCGGGGGTTAGACGAGCGTTGCGGTCTAACTCTTCTCCCAGCCTCCTCTGGCTCCTTTCTCGTGTTCCCATCCTATGGGTCCCCCCCATGAAAAGTCTTGTATGTCTTTTCCCAGCTTGGCATCTGCTAGTACTGTGCCTGGCAGGTCATATAAATGGCTAAAGTGGTTCAGGTGAGGCCTGAGGTGAGTTAAAACCCCACCCCTGTTTCACGAGGACAGCTTGTATCTAATTCTGATTGTTGCCAAGGAGAGAGTGAACCCAGGGCAGAACATCACTAGTTTTTAAGGAGAAAAACTACAAAAAATTATAATCCTTAATTCACCCCTCTCCTTTGACAGAAGAAATTGAGGCAAGGAAGGGAAATGCCTTTTCTAAGATCACTAGTGTAGTAGGTGGCAGAATGTGGCCAGAATCCAGAGATACTAGATCCTGATCCAACTCTTTCCCTTCTTCCTGTTTATCGAGTAGGTGGGTCTGTATTCGTTATCTATGGCTGTGTAACAAATCACACACACACACACACAGAGACACCCCTGCGCCAAATGGCAGCTTATAACAAGGCACACTTACTGTCTCACAGTTTCTGTGGATTGGAATCTGGACTCTGCTTAGCTGGGTCTCTCACAAGTCTGCATTCAAAGTGTCAGTTTAGGCCAGGGTCTCATCTGAAGGCTCAGTTGAAGAATCTGCCTCCAAGCTCATGTGGCTCTTGGTAGGACTCATTCCCTCAAGGGCTGTTGGACTGAGGACTTCAGGTCTTTTCTTGCTGTCCGTCAAAGGCCACCCTCAGCTCCTTGCTGCGTGGAGCTTCCCAACATGACAGCTTGCTTCATCAGAGTGTACAAGCTGAGCAGGGGACAGAGCGTCTGCTGGCAGAGGTGGAAGTCACAGTCCTCTGTAACCTAATCACGAAGTGCTATCCTCCCATGTTTATTGTATTCTATTTGCTAGACAGTCACTAGGCCAGCCTACACTCCAAGGGACATGAATACAGGGGGCCATGTTCGAATACTGCCTTGGAAATTAGGACACCCCCAGTTGTGTTGCATCTTTCCCCTGTAAACCAAGACACTACTTTCGTGGGGAGAGGTCGGGGATCTATTATATTAAAATGAAAACAAGTGCTGATGTAACTGCCGGATAAGATTGTGGAGGGAGAACTAGATCAATGTGGACAAGAAGGGAAGCGGTGGTAGGGGATAGGGCAGGGGTAGAAAAAGAACCTCCAAGCCAGGGCAGCAAAACCCTGTTTTCCCCACCAGGCACCCTCACCGTGTTCTATCTTCATTTTGTTCTGTGCCATGGGCACGGAAAACGTTAGCAAAATTCAGGACATTGCTTTGGCAGAGATCCTTTGCTCTCAGGTTACTGCATATTCCTTCTAGTACCAAGAGTGCTCATAATTGTTGAGGAGCAATACAAGGATCAAAACTGTCTCCTTTGTATATAGGGAGGAAGTATGGGACAGTAATTAAAATAATGATAACCATTAATATTTGTTAAGGGCTAGCTGGACAGCCTGCCTGGAGCCCAGCAGCTTTGCCCCATTGAGTCCTCAGAACAATTCTGTGAGGTTGTATTAATATTCTCTCCATTTTACAGAGGAAGAAACTGAGGCTTAGAGAGATTGGGAGATTTACCTAATGTCACAGCTAGATGGGGCTAGAGCAGGAATTGACCCATGTTTTATTTCACTTCAATATCTACCACTAGAGTATTTCCCAGATTTTATTCATTCATGTATAAACTGTCAGAGTTGCTGCCATATCCAACATCATTTATTCTGCTAACACATACGGGATACATTTTACTACTCTCCCCCTAATTTGCAATGATGCAGGCTCTGGGCTATGGCAGAACTGAGTTTAACCCTGCTCCTATCACCTCTCTGAGCTGCAATTTTCTCATCTCTAAAAGAGGAGCACGGGCTCAACTTGTCTGACAGAGAGACAGATCATGGGAGTAAATTAGGAGGCACATTGTAGATGCCCTAGAAATATTTTGCTGAAGGGACCCTCAAGGAATAGGATCTGTCTTTATTAACTCTTCTAAAAGATATATACATGGTTAGTATATTTTCAACGTCATCATCAATATTAAGGAATTCCTTAGCACTTTCCATGACCTCCGAGAAATTTGCAATTAAGTGTTAAGATCGGCATGTAGATTTAGTTTCCTGGAGTTGGAGGCAACATTAAATAGTCTTGTTACTCTATTTGGAGCACATACATTTGCTCTAGCGTTTTTGCTTACTTGAGGGAACCATAATGACAGTATAACATCGTGATTAAGGGTATGGATTTTAAGGTCAATCAGATCTGGTTTTGCTTTCTGATCTCTCCATCCACTGGCTTTGTGACCTTGGCTATCTAAACTTTCTCTGCTTCAGTTTCATTAAATCAGTTGGGAATGCTTTCAGCTGTAAGTAGCAACCACCATAACAAAAAGCCTACAGAGACTTAGGTTGTTTTTCCCCTCACTTAAAAGGAAGTCCAGAGGCAGGAAGTTGTTATGTTTCAATGGCTCCAGAATGTCAGAGCTTTGCGATTCTCTTTTCTTTATGCTTGCAGGATGCCTAACCACTTTACTGGCAAGTTAGGGAAAAGGAAGGCAAGTAGAACCAAGGACATCTTTTCCTTTTTGAGACAACAAACCTGCCCAGAAAACTGCCAGCGATCTCCTTCACCGGCCTGAACTGTGTCACATGGCCAAGTTGCAAGGGAGACCAGGGAAGGCTCCAGAATGGAGGTGGGTGAGGGAGAGGGGGCTGTGGTGGGGATTATGTCAGATAATGTAGGTAACTGCAACAGGGAAATGGAGGCTTCATTCCAGTGTCCTGCAGTGAGGGAGCGTCACATCAGAGACAGGGCAAAAACCTGATTTTCTACCAGACTGGAAGCTCCATGCAGGGAGGGTTTTCTGTCTTTCTCGTTTATTATTCTAGCTTGATGCCTAGAACACAGATAACCATATGGTGCTTCTCAGTAAATATTTGATAAATAAATGAATGGGTAATAATCTGATACATTTATTTGATTTACTGTCATTCATCATCTCCTCAAAAAACATTTATTCATTGCCCCTAAACAAACATCAGAATGTAAGAATCATGAAAACAGGACTTCTGGTGGTGTATTATTTATCTCTTGCTGTGTAACAAACTACCCCAAAACTCAGCAGCTGAAAATAACAAACATTTCTTACCTCACACCGTTTCTGAGGTCAGGAGTCACTGAGAACAGTCTGGACAGGTGGCTCTGGCTCAAGGTTTCTTGTAAGTAGTCACGATGTAGTCAGGATGTTGGTCGAGGCTGCCAACATCTAAAGGCTTGACTGCAGTTGGAGGATCTGCTTCTCAGATGGAGCTCACAGGGCTGCTGGCTGGAGGCCTCAGTTCCTCCCCATGTGGACTTTTCCATAATGCTGCTTGAATATTCTCAGGACATGGCCGTTGCCTTCCAGAGGGAAAGAGCAAGGAGGAAACCGCAGTGTGTTTTCTGACTAGGCTTGGGTGTTGCTCAGTGTCACCTGCATAATATTCTACTCCTTAGAAACAAGTCATGAGGTCCAGCCTAAGCTCAAAGGGAGAGGCTTCTGCCTTTTGAAGGGGGAGTGTCACAGAATATTTTCCCCCAACGTGTTTACACTTAAAAAAGTTTCCTTTATTGAAGTACGGTTGATTTACAGTGTTTCAGGTGTAGAGCAGAGTGATTCAGTTAGACATATATATATTCTTTTTCAGATGCTTGTAGACATTTTAAAACCACCAGTGTCTATTCCATTCAATGTTGTATTTCTAGCATCTAGAGATGCCTGGCTCCTATAATAGATGCTTAATCAGAGCTGGTTCCAGGTTGGTAGGCCTTGAAGGTTATAAAATTTGGGGGCTTTAAGAGAAAGGATGTAGAAAAGTTATGAAAAATGTTATAAAAGTTAGTATTTATTTAGAATAAAAGAATATACTACAAATTACCCAATTTTTAAAGCTGAAAATAGCACTGACATCACAAAATCCTCCAAATAACATCTTCATATTTTATTAACTATCTGACTTTTCCTGTAATGTGCGTTTCCTATGTATTTTGGCTGCACGCTCTTGGATTACCTGTTAATCTGACAGTGATCTTGGATTATCATTTTCTTTAGAGAGACTACTAGAAAGAAGATTTAATCTTTCCACCATCAGGATTGATCAAAATTTGTTGTTGTCAATTTAGAAAAGTTTCTTTTGGCTTTGCAACACATTACTGGTTAGGTGATGTAAATTTTTAGGATTGTTGTGTCAGATTTGGGAAAACATCTGTCCAGTTGTTTATAATATGACCTGTAAGATTTTAGGCAATTCGAGTTTTCCAGGGCAGTGATGAATCTCTAATACTCTTTGAATGATGACACCCATTAACTAGTTTGTAACGATGGAGCGTTTCTTTTGCGTTATCTTTGTCAGTGCCAATACTTCTTCTTCCTGGGTGACCATTATCGTGTGCTCCTCTTCAGCGGACTGTAATGGTTAATTTTGTGTGTCAGCTTGACTGGATCATGGGTTGCCCAGATGTTGGTTAAATGTTATTTCTGGGAATGGCTGTGAAGGTGTTTCCCGATGAAATTAGCATCTGAATCAGTGGACTCAGTAAAGCAGTGCGCCCTCCCCAGTGTGGGTGGGCGCCATCCAGTCCATTGAGAGCCTGAATAGAACAAAAAAGCAGAGGAAGGAAGAATTCAGCCCTTCCTGACTCACTGCTTGAGTGGGGACATTGATTTTCTTACCCTAGATACTCCTGTTTCTTAGGCCTTTGGACTCAGACTGGAACTACACCACGGGGTCTCCTGGGCTGCCAGGTTATAGACAGAAAATTGTGCCACTTCTCAGCCTCCATAATGGCGTGAGTCAATTTCCTAATAATCTCTTCCTATACTTACATATCCTATTGATTCTGTTTTTCTGGAGAATCGTGATTAATAGAATGATTTTAAAAACCCAGTTATTAGTCTTATTCAAAATTATGTTTTACTGGTATCACTTACACTTTGACAGAGAACTCACCAGAGTTCCAAGGTCAAGGTGTATCAAATATGAGTTCCCTGATATATGAGAAATGCACCACACTTGACTATCCTGTGTGTCTTCACGCACATACTTGCTGTTTATGGAACTGTCACACTGAAATTTACATTTCAGTGTCCATATATACAGTTTTATTGGAACTTAGACATGCTCATCCATTTACTTACCGTGTACAGCTGCTTTCATGCTGCAGCGTCAGAGTTGAGTAATTGAGGCGGAGCCCACAGAGCCGACAAAGCTTAAGGTGTATAGTATTTGGTGCTTGACCAACCCCTGTCCTATGGAGATGAGCAAGAGACACACTCACCTTCTTGGCCTCCTGAAGCAATGGCCATTTTTCAGTCCCTAAAACATACCAGTCTGTGTACTGACTCAAGACTAACCTGTCTGCTATTCTCTCTGGAGAACAATCTTCTCTCAGCCAGTTTTGGTCTGATCATATTCATCCTTCAAGCAATTTCCCCTACCTAGAGAAGACTTCTCTGGCAACCTGTCTAAAACAGTTTCTATTATTCTTTTTTATTTTTTAATGTTTGGCTGTGTTGGGTCTTTGTTGCTGCATGCGGGCTTTCTCTAGTTGTGGCGAACGGGGGCTACTCTTCCGTTTCGGTGCACCAGCTTCTTATTGCGGTGGCTCCTCTCATTGTGGAGCACCGGCTCTAGGTGCGTGGGCTTCAGTAGCTGTGCCTCGTGGGCTCTGTAGTTGTGGCTCGCGGGCTCTAGACTGCAGGCTCAGTAGTTGTGGTGCACGGGCTTTGTTGCTCCATGGCTTGTGGGATCTTCCCGGACCAGGGCTTGAACCAGTGTCCCCTGCATTGGCAGGCGGATTCTTAACCACTGTGCCACCAGGGAAGGCCAGTTTCTATTATTCTTAACCCTTGTTTCCTGTTCTTTTCAATCATAGTCCTGCCCATGGTTTGTAATTATTGACATGACTTGTTCGTTAAGGTTGCTGCCCCTTTTACTCTGCAAATTCCCTGTCAACATCCCAGGGTGGGTAAGAGTGTGAGCTCTGAAACCAGACAGCCTAGGTTTGAATCCCACCTTTGTCACTTACAAGTTGTGGAAGCTTGGGTAAGTCACTTATCTTCTTGCTTCTTCCATTTTCTCATCTGCAACATAGGGATAATCATAGTAACTACATAGTAAACATAGTAAGTACTACATTCAGCTTTGAGGATTAAATAAGTTGTAGATAAAGCATTAAGAAGGAAGCAGCAAAGGAAGCCATAAACAAAAGGAAAAGACAACCTATGGGCTGGGAGAATATATTCGCCAACAATGCGACCGACAAGGGCTTAATTTCCAAAATATACAAACAGCTCATACAACTCAATATCAAAACAAACAACCCAATCAAAAAATGGGCAGAAGACCTAAATAGACATTTCTCCAAAGAAGACATACCGATGGCCAACAGGCACATGAAAAGGTGCTTAACATTGCTAATTATCAGAGAAATGCAAATCAAAGCCACAGTGAGGTATCACCTCACGGTCAGTATGGCCACATCAAAAAGTCTACAAATAATAAACGCCAGAGAGGATGTGGAGAAAAGGGAGCCCTCCTCCGCTGGTGGTAAGAATATAAATTGGTGCAGCCACTGGAAAAGAGTTTGGGGGTTCCTTAAAAAGACTAAAAATAGAGTTACTATATGATCCAGCAGTCTCACTCCTAGGCATATATCAGAAAAAGATGAAAACGCTAATTCAAAAAGATAATGCACCCCAACGTTCCTAGCAGTACTGTTTGCAATAGCAAAGACACGGAAGCGACCAAAGTGTCCACTGACAGATGAATGGATAAAGAAGATGTGGCATATACACACACACACACACACACACACAATGGATTATTCAGCTATCAAAAAGAATGAAATAATGCCATTTGCAGCAGTGTGGTGGACTTAGAGAGATTATCATACTAAGTGAAGTAAGTCAGAAAGACAAATACTATATATCCACGTATATGTGAAATCTAAAAAAAATGATATAAATGAACTTATTTGCGAAACAGAAATAGACTCACAGACATAAAAAAAACAATCTTATGGTTGCCAAAGAGGAAAGGGAGGGGAAGAAGGGTAAATTAGGGGTTTGGGATTAACAGATATGCACTACTATATATAAAATAAACAAGGACCTACTGTACAGCACAGGGAACTATATTCAACATCTTGTAATAACCTATAATGGAAAAGAATCTGAAAAATGTGTGTGTGTATATATGTGTGTGTATGTATATATATATCTCTGAATCACTTTGCTGTACACCTGAAACTAACACAACATTGTAAATCAATTATACTTCCAAAAAAATACTAGTAAAAAAACAAAACACGAAACCCAGTACCTGGTAAGCAATTGATAAGGGTTAGCTATTAATACTTAGTACTGTATCTTCAGGGTTGGACACAAGAGTACAACCAGTATCTCTTTGAGTGAAAAATGTTTTTGGAATGAAGCATTTGTGGAAATGAAGGCTTTTATCTGGTGCCTCACACCTCTTTTATTTTTTAACCATATGCTGTTCCATTTAAACATTATGGACCTCAAGTTTCATTTAGTCCACGAAAGGCTATAAGTGACCTTGATTTACATAACAAATCAGTAAGACAAGTGTTTGAAGCTTTTTTTTTTTTTTGGCGGTACGCGGGCCTCTCACTGTTGTGGCCTCTCCCGTTGCGGAGCGCCGGCTCAGCGGCCATGGCTCACAGGCCCAGCCACTCCGCGGCATGTGGGATCTTCCCGGACCGGGGCACGAACCCGTGTCCCCTGCGTCGGCAGGTGGACTCTCAACCACTGCGCCACCAGGGAAGCCCTGAAGCATTTTTTTTTACTTACTTTTTTTTGGGGGGGTGGGTAATTTAGTATCTGTCACGGTATGCCCACGGACAGATTAAGACCTATAAGTATTACGAGGCCTACATCAGTCAGCTATTGCCATGCTAATGTCATGTAACAAATCACCCAAAGCTCAGTGGCTTAAAACAATAATTATTTAATCTCACAAAAGCATCTGCAAGTTGGCTGGTTTTCAGATGATCTAGACTGTCTGGGCTGGGCTTCAAGGTGTGGGTTGCATCAGGGTCTGCTCTAGGTGTCTCTCATCCTCCTTGAATGAACAGGCATGTTCTTCTCACGGCACCGGTGGACATGCAAAAAGAGTGAGACCCGCGGTGTAAACACGTACTAAGGCTTTGCTTGCATCCTGCTTGCTAACAGCCTATTACCAGCAAAGTTACATGACTGAGTCCAAATCAGTGGGTCAGGGAAGTATATTCCATCCAAAGCAGGCGTGGGAGAGGTGTATTTCCTGAACAGTAATACACACTATCCCAAGACCCATAACCAAATAAAAGTTAAAATAAAAATCAAACTAAGGGCTCCCCTGGTGGCGCAGTGGTTGAGAGTCCGCCTGCCGATGCAGGGGACACGGGTTCGTGCCCCGGTCCGGGAAGATCCCACATGCCGCGGAGCGGCTGGGCCCGTGAGCCATGGCCGCTGAGCCTGCACGTCCGGAGCCTGTTCTCCGCAACAGGAGAGGCCACAACAGTGAGAGGCCCGCGTACCGCAAAAAAAAAAAAAAAAAATCCAAACAAAAATGAAAAGTTATATTTTTCAAAGAGACGAAAACATGTACATGTTAAAAATAGCCTTTCTGAATTTTCTGGTTGTCTCCTTTGGCGGGCAAGAGGGGTTGTAATGGTGTCCCTGCTTTTCTGGTCCTTTAAGTGTGTGTCTGGTCTTCATTTGGGGCCAGCCAGCACTGATGACTGCTACTTCTTGTATCCTAGTGCCCAGCACTTGGTAGGTATTTGACATAGTTTGTTGAACGCAGTTGTTGAATTCTATAAACGTATGGCACTTGCATCAGTGCATGATAGCTCTATTTGCTTTACAGAAATTCAGGAGCATTGTAGGTATTGCACGTTTCTACATCAAAGCTTTAAAAGTAGTTATGGGGTGTGGAGGTGCACACAACTTCTAACACTGCCGTGCATACCTTGGAGGCCTCCAAGCAAGTCGTTGCCTCTGGGTTTCCTGTTTCTCTGTTTCCCCTGCGATGGAAAAGCGATTGCTTTCTCATCTGATGTTGCTCAAGGGAAATGCGTGCCTGGAAGATAATCAACAGAGAGGAGAGTGTAGACAAGTAAATAAACAGTTTAATGAATATAAGATAAAACTTGAATTAGGGCTTCCCTGGTGGCACAGTGGTTAGGAATCTGCCTGCCAAATGCAGGGGACATGGGTTCAAGCCCTGGTCTGGGAAGATCCCACATGCCGCGGAGCAACTAAGCCTGTGTGCCACAACTACTGAGCCTGCACTCTAGAGCCCGCGAGCCACAACTACTGAGCCCGCATGCCTAGAGCCCTGCTCCGCAACAAGAGAAGCCACCGCAATGAGAAGCCCGTGCACCGCAACGAAGAGTAGCCCCCGCTGGCTGCAACTAGAAAGAGCCTGCGCGCAGCAACAAAGACCCAACGCCGCCAAAAAAAAAAGCCATGAATTAAAGCCAGCTTTCAGAACCTCACATTTTCCTTTCATCTACTGTTTATTCAGTAATTGCACAATTACAACTTGCATAAATGATTTTATATACCTAGTAGTCTATAAATATCTCCAGTATATATATGTTTGTAGATAAGGAGGGCAGGGATGATCATGATTGAACAAACATGTTCTGACATAGAAATAACCTTGCAAATACTACGATGTTCAGCTTTTACCAATGCTAGTTTTTCCTGACCCGGGGAACTCAGTGTTATGAATTTTATTAACAACTACCTTTGAGAGTAGGTAGTTATTATGCCACACACTGGGGTGAGATATCTCTATATATTATTCTTTTTAACCCATGTAACAGCACTGCCATGTTAGAATATATCCCTATAGTAAAGAAGGGAACACAGAGATGCAGTAAGTAGCTTGAGCCTGTATTTGAACTCTAACATGCTTCACTAGAAAATCAGGCGGATTTGAAAGTTGACTACCCACCTGTGTACAGGGAGGGCCAGTTGAGGACAAGCAAGCGTGGCATATAGATATGCATATGACTGTCACGTCTTATTTCTTGCACCAGGATTAATGTAACAGAACACCCAGTGTGGGAAGCCACCTCAGGGCCATCCCCGCCATTCTGCTTTCCTTCAGTTATGTAGTGCAGAGCTTCTTTGTTAGATGACTAAGGTAGGCATGGTAAACATGTCACCCGGATTGTCAGATGCCTCTGGTTTGGAAATGTTCACTCAGAGCCATCAGTGAAGCCCAGAGATGACATCTTACAAGCTGGTGATAAAGCTTCAAGTAGCTTCCACTGTGAGAAGGGCTTAATTATGTGTGATTTTTCAAGCAGTATCTGTAGATTATACAGATAAGATGTCTCCTTTCTGTCTGGTGTGTGCCTTGTACTAGCACCCTTATTGAACCGTGACTGTTGCCTCTCCTTGGTTGTGAATTAGGGCCCCAGGAGCCTCCAGTCAGGTTTAGCCATTGTCCTCACGAAGTTCATTATTGCTCTTTTGGTTGAAATTTGAAGGGAAGAACAACCATTAGGTAAGTATGCAATGTCAGGGGAGCAATTTGGTTTGAAAACTCTCAGAAACGGCCTTTAAAAAAAAAACAAAAAAAACACGTCTAGGGCATTTCTTTTTTGAAAAAATAAGTTGAGTATTTTTGTTTAAAAAAAAAAAAGAGGGTTTCTGCCTTTCCAGTTAAGAGCAATCTTTAAAAGGCATCCAGAAAGAAAAAAAGTTGGCTCTGTTTTCTGAATTGCTAGTTGGGAGAACAAAAGCAGCAAGGGAAAGTTTGACTTGACTTCCTCTGCAATTTGTTTATATCATCGGAGCAGAAAGAATCTCAGGGCTCAGCTCGCCACTTCCTGAATAAAGAGAGAAAAATGCCCAGAGTGCTGGATTCATTGAGAGGTGCAGAGCGATCAGCAGAAATCCTGACCGGCTGAGGGGCCCAGAGGGCAAAGGAAGAACGTTTCTCCGTTCAGCTACAACCTAAGATAACTGCGAGGTCCCCAGTCACCAAATACTCCCCCAGCCCTCCCAGTGGCCACAGGGAGGCCAGCTGGGAGGAAGGTGCAGTCTTCCCTGGCTTGTTGCTATGGAGTCGGCGTCATCCAAGACAGTATTGTCAGTCAGTCCAATTCAAAGACAGCAGTGGCAGTAATGGAACTGCATTGAAATTACAAATATTTACTTGAAAAAAAAAAAAGTCCAAATCAGATGTAACTGAGATGATAAGGTTCTGTTTATTTCTCTAGGTAGTAGCCAGGAAACAGCCAAACCAGTTAGGGTAGGAAATTTTCTTTTTTTGGTCAGGTATGTACTGAATCACTGGCAGCAAACTTCAGGGATTTTTAAGAGAGACGATTTCTTTCTCTCTAGGTTCTCCTGGGCAGAGTGCCTGTATTCCTTCCCCTCCACACACTTTTTTAAAAGCAATTCGAGGCCAGCTGAGCTCATTTTGATTATTGCTGTTAGTTTCCTGCCACTTGTCTTTGTAGGCTGGAGTGAGGCCTAAGGATTTAGATGAAAAACATCAGGCTGCTCTCCTCTTCGAGAAATCTTACCTGTGTGGTTTCCTAGCTTGCCTTTTCATAACTTATTCGGTTGAGGTCTGCCATAGCTGGCCTATTAAAGAGAAATTTGAAATCAGTGGGTGAAAGGGCTAAGAAAGAGAAAAATACAGTTGAGCAGTGAATGTACTTGGCTGAGTACCCTTATGGGAGACTGATTTCATTGGCCTTTGGAACACTGGAGGAGATTGCAAAACATGCAGCTAGAACAGAGAGAGAATGCAGATGGGGGGGCTGCAGAATGGGGAGACAAAGAGGGTTTCCCTTTCCTCAGAAAGGGGGGATCATCCTCCTTACTAAAGTGCGTTTCTTGGGGCAGCTCAGAAGCAGGAGAAAATGCCAGGCAATAAGGGTGGTGGCCATTTGAATAATGAATAGTATAACACGCAGTGATTTCAAACCTCACAGTTTGTTATTGGAAGTTTTTCTTCCCATTTGGAGGGCAGGTTTCCATCAATTCTCTTGTCTAATTCCTGCTTCCTGCCAAGCTGCTGCTGTTTTCAAGAAAACACTTGGGTCACCGTTTGAGAGTTTCAAAAACCTCAGTGTTCAATTAGCCTCCTTTTGAATCCCTTCTGACGGTTGGTTAAATATGGGTCCAAAGTCCTTTCTGTGAGTAGGGCTGATCCTGGGGTGAGGAAACTTAATTTTCTGAGTGTTAAGAAACAAAAATAATGTTTTAACAGCACCATTACTAGAAAACTTGGAAATTGCACTCTTCTGGTCTGTTCTGTTCAATTCCATTTTATGGACCTCTGAACATTTCATAGTACAAAGGGCTATTATATAAAAAGGACACTTGGATATCCTTCTTAAAGGTTCCCTTGTACTTTCATAGCATGTTTACAAGGTTACTAAGTATGCTTTCTCATCACTGTATTTTAAATGGCTCGACTACTACTCCCACGTTTGAGAATCATTGAAACTGCCTGAATGGAACCGGGGTATCCTTTGTTCCCCATTGATTCGGAAACAAAAGATGCAGGAAAAAAAGTTTATTTTGCTGCTGAATGCCATATGCAGATGAACGCATTGTCGATTAAATTAAACCAAGGATCTGAAGACTTTTTCAAGCCTTAGAAAGAATGTTCTTATAGTTACGGTACATGTTAGAATTTGCCCTCCAGTTTTCATTTATTCTGTTGTGCTTGTGTCTAACGTGGGGTTATTTAAGTCACACACCCAAGTCTTCAGGAATAATAAAGCGTAATCAATAGAGGAGAATCAGCATCAAAAAAGACCAAAGTTGCTGTGTTGTTTCTTAGGTGGGAAAATACCAGCTGGACATAAGTAGGCAGTGTCCTCCATTCATTTCCTCCCTTCTCCATCTTTTCCAGTTTCTCTAGACCCGAGATTCTCATTTTCGGCACTGTTGACATTTGGACTGGGTCATTCTGCGTTGCAGGGGGCCGTCCTGTGCGTTGTGGGGTGTCTACCAGCTTCCTGGGCCTAGACCCCAGATGCTGGCGGCACCCCCCACAGTCATGACAGGTAACCTGGGCTCCTATAGCTGCCACATGTCCCCTAGAAGGGGGGTGGGGAGGGCGTTTGGATCGCCTCGGGTTGAGAACCACTGTTTTAGAGCAACCCACCCACAGAATCCTGTTTGAAGGAGGAAGAGAAGATTAACTTAGTGTTCAGCCAGCGATAGTGAAAATCATTGGTTACAAAGCAGTTATTTTAATCAATTCATAAAGTTAGATCTCAGAATATGAGAGAGAGAGCAAGAGAAGGAATCAAAGGACTCAGACAACGTAATAGCTGCCCTTCATTTTACAGGTGGGGACCACAGCAGGAAGTGCATCCCAGCATATACAGCTAGATGGTGAGCTAAGGCTAGTTATTGTCAGCTTTTTTTCTTGTTATTTCAAGTAGTTCATGGATTCACTTACCTATCGTTGTGCCCCTCCTGCTGGGAAGCATCTCAGAGTAGACGGGGAAACAACGCATCTCAGGATCCTTTTCCTTATGACTGTGAAGTGATTAATATTCACTAATTTAATTTTCAGTGGCTAGAAATGGGCATGTAGTACAGTAATACACATTTTATGAGATACTGTTAGAATAATAAAAATGTATCGTAATGACGATATGGCTAAAGAAGTTTAAAACACGTCTTAATAAAGATGTATCTCTGTTTCACTAGGATGTATAGTTCGCATCAACTATTTTTATTAAATATCGAACAAGAGAAGCAGTGCCCAGAACCACGTGATCTGAGCCCTGTATGTACAATAATGAAGCTATCAGTGTTCATTTTGAGTATTTTTTTTTAAGTTTTAAATGAAGTGTTTTGAACGCTGTGACAAGTGGACAGAATGAATGGTGCAATGGTCAGTACACGTACTTACTGCCAAGATTTGCTGGTTTCCAGCTTTCCCATTTCAGAGCCTTTACTGGTCCTTTTGGCAGTCATTTATCTGCACGGCTCATTCCCTCCTTCCCTCATCCAGGCTGAAATGGCACCTTCTCAGGCCTCCCAGTCTTTCTTTACAGTGATACAACTACAGTGTATTCTATATGATGAACAGAGGGCACCATCCGTCACTTGCCCGCCAGCCCTGCTTTGATTTTTTATAGCACATATTATATATAAATATGTATTTGGTTTACTTATTTGTCTGTTTCCTCCAACTAGAATCTAGCCTGACTCCCTGATGGCTTTGTTTTATCTAGTAGTGCTCAGAACAATGCCTACCTAGTACACAGTAGGCGCTCAGTAAATATCTGTTGAATGAAAGTGTTGTCTGGGCAAACTGCGGGCACGAGCAGGCTGGTAACAATTTAGTGTGGGTTGATGCAGTCTTGCACTCTTGTAAATGACCTTTGTCTTCTCAAGTGTAATATTTAATATTTAATTGGCATGACAAGTTAACTATTGCAAGCGGTTAATCATTTGTTCATTTTAAATAACAGGTTGTTTTTTAATAGAAGTCTAACGAAGAAAATAATACTGGACTCCCAGCCTACTGACCAGAGAAGCCTACTGATACTTAAACAGCAAAACAAAAGTACATGCTTATAGTTAGAAACTTGAAATTGCATAGAAAAGTTACAGAATAAAAAGTAGAAGACATTCCCCTATCTACAAAAAGAAACACTTGTAACCAATTTCTCATGAGTTGTTCCAGAAAATTTCTCTGTGCCCATAGGTATACATTTACTAGCAAAATATACCTTAAATTGCTTTAAATGCGCACACACACATGCATACACACATACCAGAATGGTTTCTTTAACCCTTGCACAGTTTGTACTTAGATACTTATTTGCTCAACTATGTGTTGAACATCTCTCTTCCATCCAACTGTACCTGCCTGTCCACCATTCTATCCCCGGTGCCTGGCACACGGCAAGCCTCATCACCTGTTCGTTGAACAATTGGTTAAACTGGTACACAGTCTTCAACAGCAGGTGCTATGCTTTTATTAATGTACCGTGTCGTGGCCAAAACACGATCCTTATGCCATTGGTGAAGTTCCTTAGGATCTGTATTCAATGAACATTTATAAATTTTTAAAAATTGTTAGCATTCTAGGTGTTTTCACGTGAATTAGCTCACGCAGTCCTCAGGCAGATCTCCTAAAGTGATTATTTTCATTTGTTTTTCAAATGAGAAAGACTCAGATATCAAGACCGAACTATAGGTGAAGATGTAATATTAGGAAAAAGTTCTAGGCCTCCATGCCCTATTTCTATTTCTTGGTAACTTCTTTTTTTTTTTTTACCAATCTCAGCAGTCAGAATGCTGTGACCGTTTGAGCTGAGCTTTAAATACCAAATGTTTCTATATAGTCTGTCGTGTCACAAAGATACATTTCAGGCCTCTCCGATTAGCCCAGCAGATGAAACAAAGATCTGAAGACTCACTAAACACTAACAAAACAAACAAGCAAACAGAAAATTCCTCCAACACAAGAGAAACTTCTTGACAGTGTAAAAAATGAATCCACCTGGCTTCTAAGAAGCAGGTCTGAGCAGCTCAGAATCAAAACACAGGGAGTAAGTTGTAAATGGCAGAATGAATAAAACAACTATTTTGGGGGTGAAACAGAAGTTGCTCTCTGCACTTTAGATGTCACCTTTCAAAGTGAGGCGGGAGCACGTGGGGTCAAAATGTTCACCCAGGGGCTCCATTTTCAAAAAGAAACAGCCAGTATACAACTCAGTAAATAAGAAAAACATCTAACTACATGGCTAAAAATGGGCGAATTTTACGGCATGTAAATTATATCTCAAGGTGTTAAAGAAAAAAAAGGAAGAGCCAAATTAAGTTAAAAGTTTTATCTTTGCCAGAGTGCGTGTGTGTGTGTCTGTGTGTGCGCGCGTGTCTGTGTGTACTGTGGTCTGTGCGTCCAGTATGTGGGGACTCAAAGGTTACTGTTTAATATTATGTAGAAAACATGTGCAGAGCCAAGGAGGTGAAAATAGTTCTCTCATAAAAAGACCACGGGGCTGGGGGGCTCCTGAGAAGTCAAAGTAGTTGAAAAGATGAACCTTTTGTCCTGGAGGTGTCATCACGTCCTCCTACTGGGGCGAAACCACAGAGCATAAAGCTTGCCTCCCGCTTGCCGCTTCCCTGTTGACTCTGTTCCCTCGTAATAGCAGCCTTGTTCCATCTGCCGGGATTCAGAGATTTATGGAGGCAGAGTGTGAGGGGAATTATTTCCAAAAGAAATAATCGCAGGAACAGTGAGACGGGAGGAGGAGGAGAAGAGAGGGAGGGAGGGAGACAGAAACAGAAGAGAGTAATTTCCAGGACAGAATAAAATTGGCTATCATGTCATTAAAGTGTTAAAACACTGCAAGCACTGTAAACTGACGACGGTGCCTTATGAAGAGCCTTCTGTTGGGACTGGACGAGTAAAATGAAACGCAGAGGGGAAGGGGGTGGGTGGGGGGAGGACCTGCTCGCTGCCAGGGGCAGGGCTTCGCGGTTAAACCTCGGGCCGTGGTTTGATGCCCTTCTGACTCACGGAGACAAAGGCCACCTGCCAGCCTGGGGTCCGGCGAGACCTCACACTCCACGTGAGCACCTCCTGTGGGAAGGAGGAGAAAAAGACGCACGAGCAAACCTCAGAATTACGACAAAAGAAAACAAAGCCTTAGTCTAAAAAACCAAGTGAGGTTATTTTTCTGAGAATTACATAAGCAAATGCCCCACGCTTACCTCTGATTATTATCTCTTAATCATAGGTTTAAAAATGCCAGTAAAACCATGTCAGGCTAGGACAGAGGTTACTTTGGGGAAAGAGGAATGATTAGGAGAGGACACGGGGACTTTCAGGGTGCTGATTTCCCGGATATGTGACAACTTTGGGAAAATTCATCAAGCTGGAAAGTTCCAATTTGCGATTATGTGTATTTTACTAACATTAAAAAAATGCCAATATGATCTCCCTGTGCCTCCTTCCTCATTCATTTCAAAGAGAGCTTGGATCCTCCTAGCTGTGTCGCCCCCACTTAGCTCATGGTAGCCTTCAACGACTTACCTCAAGACTGCAGCAGCATCCTGGATCCTTTCATCCTGCTGGCCCTGCCTCCAAAGCAGATTCCACATCTCTCTGATTTACTCCATCTCCAGTGGCCTTCCAAGTCAACGTCCTGTTTGGCTAGACGACGGTTAATGGACTGCCAGTCAGGTTTCCTGCTCCCTCTAATGCTAATCCAGTCTCCAAAGTTACCTTTTTTAAAAATGGAAATCAGGTGACCACATCCTCCCTCAAAGTCAGCTTCCCATCACATGTAAAGTAAGACCCAGCTGTGGGTAAGCCTTCTGGAGTCGCTTTCCTTCTATTCCTCTAACTCACTAAGTTCATTCCTTCCTCCGGGACTTGGCTTTGCTGTCCCTGTCCTGGGTCTCAGCTCTCCCGTCACCTGCCCACCAAGGCCGCCCCCAGTCAACTATGACAGTCACCGCTCCCCATCACGTTACCGTCACGACACCTGGCACTATATGACAGGTTAGGTTGTCTCTTAGTTGTGGTGTTGACGGGATTTCTCCCTCACCAGGATATGGGTTCCCAGAGAGGCAAGGACTGTGTCTGTCCTGTCAGTATCTCCAGTTGGATGTTATAAAAATAGTCTGAAACATCACATGCCTGAAACCCAGCCTCTGGAATTCTCCCTCCCCACCATCACCACCTCCCTCCAACCTGCTTTCCTCATAGTACTCTGCTCGTGGCAACTGTTCATTCAGTGACTCAGGCCAGAAACATTGGAGTCACCCCTGACACCCCTTTCTCCCCTCACATCCCACCTTCAATGCATCAGCACTTCCTGGTGCTCTTACCTTCACAGAGCCTGACAACTCATCTGCCACGTCCTGCCCCTGCCCTGGTGCAGGCAGAAAAAGGGTTCCTGGAGCTGCCTAACAACCCCCTACATCTCTCTGGGTCCCCCTTTCCATTTAGTCTCCAGAGTCAGGTTATTTGAAAAAAAATTTTTTTTTTTTTTTAGCCGCTCCGCACGGTTTGTGGAATCTTTAGTTCCCTGACAAAGGATTGAACCCAGGCCCTTGGCAGTGAGAGTGGAGTCCTAACCACTGGACCACCAGGGAGTTCCATCGAAAATAATTTTAAATCCCACATCTCTTTCCAGATGTGTCTTTCCAATGACCCCCCATCTCAGAGCAAAATCTAAAAGAGTCCTTCGGTGACCTGCACGCATCTGCTCCCCTGACTGCCTCACCCACACTCTTTCCCTTGCTTTCTCCACTGTGGCCACACTAACCAAGGGCACACCCCCTCAGACCTTTTCACCTGCTGCTCTTTCCGGAATTATCCCCCAGGTGCCCCTCACTGTGTTCTCTCACTTGTTGGGGTCTCTGCCCAAGGAGGCTTTCTCCAGCATCTCTCTTCAAAATTGCCCCCATCCTGACCCTCCCTATTTCTCTCCTCTACTTATTTTTCTCCAAAGCACTTAAGGCTCCACAAACTTATGTCATATTTATGTATTCATTTACGGTCCCTTCCCCCTAAGTTCCATGAGGGTGGAGATTTTTGTCTCTTTGTCACGGCTGTGTCCTCATTGCCCACATTTGTGCCTGGCAGATAGTAAACACTTATAGGTTATTAATAATTAATTGAATGAGAAGTATTCATGCTAAATATTCTTTAGCATGAATATATAGTATTCATGCTAAAGATTTAAGTCCTCATATAGTGAGTGAATGAATGATAATAGAACATTGCCGAAGTCATTAAATCAACAAAGATACACAGAGTTTCTGTCGTGGGTCTGAAACCAATCTAACCTGTTCTACAGTAGTATATACAACAGACAAGATCTCTGGTCACCTGGAACTTGCAGTCTGCTTGGGGAAAGCAACTGATCCAACAACTGCAAAAAGCATCTCATTACAAACTTGGTATCGCTGGGAAGAAAGAGGACCTTCTGAGATCATAGCTCCATTAGAACTGGGAAGGCTTCCTCAGAGGAGGTGACATTTGAGGTGAGATGAGAAAGTTTGGGTGTACAGGGAAGTGGGGGACTGGGGAGAGCATTTGTGGCAGAAGAAAATTCCAGTACAGAGCTCCCCTCCCCACCCCCAGACTTTTAATCCAACGCGTGTGGATTAATCAATTACATCTTACTGTTTCCAAGATCCTAGTGAGCCTTGGTATTTGGTTTCTGATATTTACTATTAAGTTCATTTTTTAGCTGCCAATATTAGTGATGGTTATGATTCTTTTCCTGATGGAGGTGGGAACCACCTCCAAACTCAGGAATCCGATTAAATATTGGAGACCTCAGAGTTTATACAGTGTGTGGCTGGATTTTTACATCATCCTTGTTTGTTTTCTTCTTTTTCCAGTCCTTCGACACTAGCTGGTCATTAAAATTTAGAGCTCACCCTGGGTTAAGTGGATGATTTCCTGGAAAACAGCTGGTTGAGCCTCCCCCTGTGTGCCTCTGAAATAAACATCCCCTTTGGAGAAAGGCTTTCTTTAGTGCCTCCCTGCTCAGCATCTTTTTTGCAATTTACATTCCTGTTTTGCATGACTTCTCAGAAGAAATCTAGAAGAATAATCACTAAAATTAATAGCCAAAGGTTATTATGCACTTCATAGTGTTCCCAGCCCTGGGAGCTAGGTACTATTAGTATCCTATATTCAGAGATGATGACCTGAAGCTTGGAAGTTAATGTGTCCCGTATCAATCAATAACTACAAAATGGCAGAGGCAGGCTTTATGTCCAGACCAGATGACTGAAGAACTCGTGCTGTTAATCATCAAGCCACAAGGCCTCCTCGACCCCAAACTGGAAAGTCTCCTCTTAACTTCATTTTCCCCAGCTGTTAGATGAAGGTGTAGAACCCAAGGTTCTAATTCTTCCAGTCCATGTGCAGACAGTGCGGTTATATTTTCTCTTGCAAAGGCAACCAACTCTGGCTGACCTGTGCTGAGAAGAGTTTAAGGGACTGATACTGAGTCACTCACAGATGGGGAATTGAGAGCTAAGGAAGGAAGAAGAGAGGAAGGGAGGAAGACAGAGACAGAACCAGAGCCATCCCATGCATCTAGGGAGCAAGTAGACTTCTCAAAAGTATTCTTATGGAGTAGGGGAGCTACAGTTTGCTTTCCACCCTGCCTCACTCTGGTGAAGATCAACCATCCCAGAATCTACAGTGTGTTGACTTAATCTTGGCTGTGGATTCATCCCTCCGCTAGGAAAGGGCAGAGTGCCTTGACAGTCCCACCGGGGTGACTCATGATGGGGTGCGTCAAAGAAAAATCAGGGCACTGTAACCCAGGCAATGGGAAATGGATGCTAGGCTTCTCAAAAAGAGCTGACACCACTCGACCGTCAAAAGGTCAGAAGGGAAAACTCTTTTCTGTCTTGATGAAGCCTTTGCTCCCACTTGGAGCAGCTCATCCTTATCTAAAGGGTGTCTAGTGCAGGGCCAGGCAAACAGCAGGTGCTTAGCAAGTAAATGTGGGATAAGTAAGTGAACTGAAAAGAAAGAACATCCCTAATGCTGAATCACTGTTCCCGCTTATAGACCAGACATCACACCTTTTTAAAACTAGCATCCTCTGGGATGGGCTTTTGGGGTAGGTCCCTTCCCAGCCAGAGTCCTTAACCAATTGAGAAATAAGACAAAAGAAGGAGCAGGTTGTCTTTGTCCATTCGAGCTGCTGTAACAAAAATACCCCAGACTGGGTGGCTGACAAACAACAGAATTGTCTTTCTCACAGTTTTGGAGGCTGGCAGTCGGAGATCAGGGTTCATCATGGCCAGGCGAGGGCCTCTCCGAGTTGCTGTCTTCTCACTGTGTCCTCCAGTGGTGGAAGGGGCAAGGGAGCTCTCTGGATCTCTTTTGGTAAGGGCACTAATCCCACATGTGAGGGCCCCAACTTCATGACCTAATTACTTCCCAAAGGCCCCCATCTCCTAATGCCATGACACCGGGGATTAGGTTTCAACATATGAATTTGTGGAGGGGGAGGAACACACAAACATTCAATCTATAGCACAGATGGGAGCCCAAATGTCACCTCTATTGCTGATAAATCTAGATATCTGTGGGCCACTGGACTTCCCCACACTGACCCCAGAATGAAATGAATCTTCCAATTCCAACATAGGAGCAGAGAACAACTCCCCCTCCACAAGGAGACAGGGAGCAGAGGACAGCTTGATTCTTCCCCAATTTACCTACCAGATAAGTCTCTGCTCCTCTCCTGAAGGGGAGTGGGTGAAGGGCAGGGAGAGGCCAGGAGCTTTAGGAGCAAGGGGAGAAGCAGTCTTTCCCAGCTTCCTGACTGGGCACCAGGGGGCCCGGGGAAGGTACACAGAGGTGTTGACCCCAGGCTGATAACAACCTACTCTGCAGCCCTGTTCATATTCTTTGTGGCTATCTACCAATTATGTTTTCACAGCTGAGACCAGAAATATTTCCATCACTCAGGACATGACACCAAAACACCTGGTTTTGAAATGTGGAACATTTTGTCAAAGGACTGTGAAAGTTCTCTTAAAATAGAAACATTAGGGCTTCCCTGGTGGCGCAGTGGTTGAGAGTCCGCCTGCCGATGCAGGGGACACGGGTTCGTGCCCCGGTCCGGGAAGATCCCACATGCCGCGGAGCGGCTGGGCCCGTGAGCCATGGCCACTGAGCCTGCGCGTCCGGAGCCTGTGCTCCGCAACGGGAGAGCCCACAACAGTGAGAGGCCCGCGTACCGCAAAAAAAAAAAAAAGAAACATTAAAAGCCCCAGAAAGGAAGGTATAGTAATTATTATCACCAACTCAGTTACAGTCAGAGGGCAGCTTGCCTGACGGTGAACGGACCCACAGGAGAACAGTGGCCAAACTTTGTGGTCTGAGACTCCCGAGTTTGAGTTTCCGCTCTGCTCCGTATTAACTGTGTAAACTGAGGCTTGTTGATGCCCCTGGACCTCATATCTGCAGCTATAAAATAAGGATAGGGGCTTCCCTGGTGACTCAGTGGTTGAGAGTCCGCCTGCCGATGCAGGGGACAGGGGTTCGTGACCCGGTCCAGGAGGATCCCACATGCCGTGGGGCGGCTGGGCCCGTAAGCCATGGTCGCTGAGCCTGTGCGTCTGGAGCCTGTGCTCCGCAACGGGAGAGGCCAGGGCAGTGAGAGGCCCGCGTACCAGAAAAAATAAAAAAATAAAATAAGGATAATAGCTTCCATTCCATGGGGTTTTTTTGGGGGGGAAGATTCTAGAGATAATGTATTTCAAATACACATACACCTGGCACAGAGTAAGCTCTTAATGAATCTTAGCTAATGCTCTTATGATTTTTTTCTCATTGGTGATGATGTTTAGGGTCCTCGTGTTGCCATGAAATATTCTTTCTATTCCCTTGCATTATCCTCTGGTTGTTTGCTAATGTGCAGTAGAAACAACCCGGGAACAGGAGTCTGGGGGCCCAAGTTCAAATCCAAGTTCTGGTACTTTCTAGCTGCATTGTAATTGACAAACTCACTAGAACTCTTTGAGCCTCAGTTTCCTCGTCAGTCATGGGTGACATCATAGAAAAGCTTAATCTGAACTTGAAACATGAATTTTTCCTTCCTTGGAACATTTTTTCCTTCGTCCCTTCGTCTATTAACAAGTGTCCAGCCAGGATCTCAGTTCATCTATGCATCTGCAGGGCAGCCCTTCCCCCACCCATTGCACATATGCATTTGCTCCACAAGTTTTTAATGAGCAGCTACACTGCGTGCCAGACACTGTTCTCGAAGCAGAGTTATGTGTTAGCAAGACGTGGTCTCGGCCTTTCAGAATCAGGGGAAAATGTTAAGGGACTCTTCTCTGTATTGTGTCTCCTGGAGTCAGCCCCTCTCCCTAGTGGAGCATTGCTCTGAGTTGTGGACACAATCAACATGATCCAGACCTAGAAACATACACACTGTCACACCCTGGTCCACTCTCC